GTTATCCATGGGGAGGAAAAGCTTCTTGCCTTTATCTCCCTCCACGGAGCATGTTCATTGGAAATATCGTCGAATAGTCGTTCCCAAACCCATAGCTGGTCGTCAGGCTCTTCGAAGATGGATGCGATGTGAAATGGAGTACGTTCAAGATCATGTTTAAATTTCTCTACGTCCATTCTTTTGTAATTTCTTGTTTTGATGATTTTTTGCGATGGTCTTTTGTTCTTGAGCCGAATGGTTGCATAAATTAAATCATGATCTGATAGTCCCAGTGGAAATACTCCAGAAGAGCTAATGAGATCCCTTTTTGTTGTTACAAAGAGATCTAGCAATGTGCGTGATGAAATTGTTGATCTTGTGGCCTCCAGAATCATATTATGCATATTAAACGACTCAAAGATAGAACGCAGTTTGATTGTGTTTCGGTGCAGGATGTTATCTGAATATCCTTGAAAAGAAAAGGGTAAGACTCGCATTATTATTTTTTCAAAGCTGTTTTCATGGTTATTGTATAAAAACACATTACACCCCTCTGTAACAGAGCCAGTGAAACCCTACCCAGTGGTTTCATTCAGTCTCAGCCAGTGATAATTTAGCCTCCCGGTACCTGGCGCGAATAGTTTAATTTGTTTCTACCCGGCTATTTCTTTTTTCCTCCCAGGTCAATTTCTATTGTGACTACAAAACCAGTATATATATATTTCTTTATTCATATTTGTTTTTAAGGAAGCAAAACTATAAAACATTATCACCAATGACAAATGAAATCGGATGGTATCAATGAAATCGAATCTCGCATAAAAAAGTGTAAACCTCTTAGTTCTTCTTGCTGTAGCAATATAATGTAAAATGTTTTCAAAACCGTTCATACCCTTAAAAAATACAGAGTTTGTATGTGAGTTGAAACAGGGTTCAGTTGTGATGGCTGCCGACCAGCTGTAAGACATAGTAGAGCTGCGTCCTTTGTTTACGCCTGCAAGACAGTGCTAACCTCCTCTTCTGTGGCCATTAAAAGTATTGTGATTTCTCTTCAATTTAGTGCAACGATTGATGTCAACAAAAGCACTTCATATAGATCTTGAACGATATTCTTTCTCCTGCATTATCATTTAGGAAGTCTATGTCAAACGTATTGACATTTGTTACCCCTGCTTGCTTTTTGCAGTCTTTGCTGACTGTCGTCTCTATCGCCTTTCCCTTTCGCTTCTAACTAGCCCGTGAAAATCATAGAGCTGAAACAGACTGTAATCCCTAAGCTTCTCCCAAAAAAAAAAAGCGTTTTGAGGGTTTTATTCGCTAAGAAAAACTTGTGAATAATTACTGAGTATCAGTATCTGTTTATTTGTAAGATAATGTGTGTGTGGTTTTGATTATTATCATATATTTCTAGTCTCTTTTTCTTAAATTAAAGTCCAGATTTTCCTTTTTTTTTAAACACAAACTGGAGTGATGCTCTACATAATTTATTAAGTCAATAAAACTTTGGCCTAGCTTTAAATATATAACCTACCTTATAAAGATTCATCCAAAGTTACATTTCCTTATTAAGAATTTTCAATGACAGTAACTGACTTTCTGCTTTTATATGTTCTCTGTTGGACAAAAACAACTCAGTGCTATTAGGCGTCATGTAAATTATTGACGAAATAAAACTCTTGACTATTGATTCATTTTCGTCTCCAAAAACAAAGCTTTTTAAAAACGCTCTCCAGAGTGTAAAGTCTTGAAAAAACTGTTTTTTTTCCCTGTGCTTGTTTATTTCTTCCTCTTTCAACAGGTATGTTTCAACTGATATCCCTTGCTTGAAATCTCTTTTTTTTTTGAAATGATTTATATTGAAATTTTCATGCCATACCGAAGCGAATTTAACCGCTATTTAATTCTAACCACAAGTTTGGTGCATGGGCAAAAGAAACAGCTTTTCGTTAATTGGTCTTAAAAGAAAATAAAAGAGCTACAAAACGGAAAGCCTATCCTCGTTTACCTACTTCGTCAGATCGGCGGCTCAGATAAATGTCGTTGACTCGACTAGCTTGGTATAATTTAGTGTTAAGCCAGTTTGCCAGTAAAGGATATAAAGGTGAAATTTAGAATTGCGCTATAAATCGATTACAACATAAATGTAACCAAAATAACTCCCCCTCCCCGTTTTGCGCCTGCCACGCAGGCTAACAATTACAACAAGAACCTGACCTCGGCTCAGGCCCCTTTACTAGTCAAGAGGTTTCTGTTTCCTTTTACTCAAGTGGGAGAAACTCTGTAAAGAGACGTGTGAGGGCTCTGGGGCAAAAAGGAACTAAAAATTTCAACGCGGGTCGGGAGGGCAAGGCCCCTCGCCCATGCTGCCTTGTTCTGCTCGTCCTCGCATATATCCTGTTTGGCTGTAGACAACCGTTCACGTTGGTTTCATTTGGAATTCACCTTTAATGTATGACTATTTCCCTCATTTTTTCCTTTAAACTTTTGGCAGAATAATCTCAGTTTAGTGTAGTAATTGAGATGTTTCAACCTGATTTTTTTAGAGCAAACTTTTAAAGCTATTAAACTACATTTATTCTCACTTTTCAAGGACGCCACACCAGTATTTTTGGCTGAAAATTTGAATGGTATGCCTTTTTTCCCCCAGAAACGAGATGGCCTACCCTTACCCTGACTTGGACCATATATAATTTCATTCCTATTGTTCTTTCCCTTGTGAATAGAAAACTGGCCGCATGAAGAAACACTTTTGCAGCTCTTTGAAATACATGAGCATATTCGAGCTAACTCAAACTTCGCCAAAACCCCAATTAGTAAGTAAGAGTAGTTGTACGTCGGGTCTCATGCAGCAAAACTTTAGACTCCTCAATCAGGGTCAAAGCAGGTGCTCGGGATTGGGACCAGGACCGGGGCTGGGCTCGGGGTCTGTCTATCTGCCCGTCTGTTTGTTTGTTTGCGTTTTTTTTCTCCCTTTTTCAAAAGGTATGTTTCAACTAATATCACTTACTATAAATCTCTTTTTTTGAAATGATCAATATTGAAATTTTCATTCCATACCGAAGCGACCCTGACTGGGACCATATATAATTTGATTCCTATTGTTCTTTCCCTTGTGAATAGAAAACGAATCACCCAAGTGTCATATAGATGAAGAATTCAAAGCAGCTTGTGATGATCTTAAAGGTTTTTTTTAATTTTTTTTTTTCTGAGATTAGACCTTAAAATTTCATCACAATATAAGATTCCTTTAATAAACTACATACATCTGAACTGTGACTTATAAAATAAATATTTTCTTTTAAATTTCAATGCAAAAGCCTTAAACCATACATGCTAACAGTTTACATGAGAAAAGAGCAAATATTAAACAGTAGTTCATTACTGCTTAACAACATCAATCACGCTGCAACAGTGATGGACGCTGCACTCCTCAGCAACAACAACCTTGTGTGCTCATTTTTCCTGAAGCCGCAGACTGGTTGAAATTAACATTTTCATTCAGATAGAAGGCTGCAGGAAGCACCGGGATCTTGAAATCCTCACACAGAAGCTGGCCTAGAATGTAAAATAATAATTATAGTAATAAAAAGACACAAGAATCTTTGCATTTCTAAATCTAGCAGGATTTTTGAAAGCATTACCGCCAAATAGACCTCTTCTGTCAGGGAGTTTTTTAGCGGGCCAAACAAAAGCAGCCAATATATAAAATCTAAGAATTCAACCATAAATTTATTCTCTTGTCCTGCTTTCTTCCTCCTCACCACTTTCTATTTTTCCTTTCCTTTTCCTTTGTTTATGTGATTTTTAAGCTAATCGAGTGCAAAAAAACCTACCTTTTTGCACTTTTTCACTCAGAGGGCTGCAAATTTCGTTAGGTTCATTTTCGAAAACTGGAATTCACTTTCATTTGGCTTTATGGCTAAGGTTAAAAAACGAAAAGAAATCGCTTTGCAGGGCAGTGAAACCCTCATTTCTTTTGCCTCATTTCTTAAAGCCAGTCAAAGCTCACTGCGTTGATTTGTTTAAGTGAGAAAACTCTCAGAAGAGAAGAGACTTTACCTTCATTGTCATCATCTTTTCGTAGACCAACATTTATGGGATGTGTAAGATCGTCGCTTTGCGCAATTTTCTGAAAAACAAAAAAATTTGTCTTTAATTTTTATTTTTCTTCTTTTATTCATAAATAAATAATAAAAGAATAAAAATACAATATAATTAAAAAGAAACAATTAAAAAATAATAATAATAGTAATGGAAAATGAATCAGATTGAATGATGCTCTTCGAAAACAGTTTAGATTTTAACTATGTGATATTTACCTTTCCTGGCGCAGACATTTTACTGAGAGATTCTAGTTCAGGTAAAGCTTCACTCGAGAAGGTTTGTGAGTCCAATCACAATGTTGATTAAACACCATGTCTTTATGTCTTTTATAGTCTTTGATGTTGTGTCAGGCCATAATCACGCGAGGTGCACATTAAATAGACTATGTTAATATCCCTTCTATTTATAGTATTGCATCTAGAACTTAACAACCGAATTTGCCATCTTTTTTGTTCACTGAAGTGGGTGAATTGTTCTTCTTGTCATAAGTGCATCTTCAAACTTTCTTTAAGTCAAATCACGCGAAGGACACTATAGAAAGGTTTAAAACACGAGTCACAAGACAAACGTTTCTTTGGTTTTACTTTTTATCTCAGGGTAAGACTCGCATTATTATTTTTTCAAAGCTGTTTTCATGGTTATTGTATAAAAACACATTACACCCCTCTGTAACAGAGCTAGTGAAACCCTACCCAGCGGTTTAATCAGTCGGCTACCCAGTGATAATTTAGCCTCCGATCCCGGTACCTGGCGCGAATAGTGTAATTTGTTTCTACCCAGCTATTTCTTTTTTCCTCCCAGGTTAATTTCTATTGTGACTACAAAACCAGTATATATATTTCTTTATTCATATTTGTTTTTAAGGAAGCAAAACTATAAAACATTATCACCAATGACAAATGAAATCGGAAGGTATCAAATGAAATCAAATCTCGCATAAAAAAGTTTAAACCTCTTAGTTCTTCTTGCTATAGCAATATAATGTAAAATGTTTCTTAATTTTTGATACCCTTAATTAGTTTCGTGTACATCCTGATACGCAAAACACTTTCCGCGCGTTAATAATAATAATTTGCTAAGATAAGTGTGCATAAGTTCTCCTGTATAGATGGCCTGAAGTTTAACATGGTAATTGGATGCCTTAATTAGTCACGTGATCCTTATCTTGACATTTTTCAATCAAACTTAATCTTTACAACGCCTGAAAGCTGTCACGTAAGTTTCGTGTCAATACGTTGCATATTTACGTAGATAGACCACCCTCGCACCTTCATTTTTTCATGTTTTTTTTTACGTACTTTAGATGACCCAGTCCTTAATGTACCTCAAATTGTCTTGTATGAGTCTAATGGTACGCGCATGCAATCGACGTCATTATCAGATAAATCATCAAGCAAGCCCCTTTAATCGATTTTTTTGGATATCTGCATGATTCCTTGTCAGTGGAACTTGGATTCCGGATTCCAATCGTTGGCAGGATTCTGGATAACTTGAGTTGAATTACGGATTCCAAAGTCAAGGATTCCGGATTCCACAAAATCTCCCTGATTCCGGAAGCAGAATTACCTAACATGGGCGATATTTTATATCAAAACTACCGAGGATTTATTCAGCTTTAAAACTACACAAAGCCACAAGCTTTCTCCATCCTGCTTTAGATCACCGGAGCTTTTAGCCTTTAGAAAAGGTTGAGTGACGATTGGCTTTATAAGGTAAAGGATAAATTCTAGTAATTTTGTGGGCTGTATTCAATTTGTTGTTAAACAGCCAACTGGTTCGCCTCCTACCAGTTGGTATTATTACTCAATAATTGACACTTTCTACCCTAATTTTCAGGCTAGAAAAAAAAAGTACAGTTAACTTTTTTAGGACTAAAAAAATTGAACTTGAACTTGGCTATTTAAAAATAACCCTAAAAATTTTCAAATGTTGCTTACGAGTGTTCTTTGAGTAAGTACAGAAACAAGGGAAGACGTAAATGAAATATTGTCACATGTCACAAAACACACAAGCACTTGTAATTCATAATTCACTTTACTAAAAAGGAAAATACTGGCCGCGAGAAGAAACACTTTTGCGGCTCTTTGAAATACATCAGCATATTCGAGCTAACTCAAACTTGGTCAAAAACCCATTTGGTAAGTAAAGAGTAGTTGTACGTCGGGTCTCATGCAGCAAAACGTAGACTCAATCAGGGTCGAAGCTGGTGCTCGGGGTTGGGACCAGGGCCGGGGCTGGGCTCGGGGTCTGTCTATCTGTCCGTCTGTTTGCGTTTTTTCTCCCTTTTTTAAGAGGTATGTTTCAGCTAGTATCACTTACTATAAATCTCCTTTTTTTCAAAATGATTGATATTGAAATTTTCATGCCATACCGAAGCGAATTTAACCGATATTTAATTCTAACCTCAAGTTTGGTGGGTAAAAGAAACAGCTTCTCGTTAAATGGTCGTAAAAAAAAATAAAAGAGATATAAACGGGAAGCGTATCCTCTCTTACCTACTACATATCAGATCGGCGGCTCAGAGGAATATTGTTGACTTGACTAGCTCGATACAGTTGCCAGTAAAGGCTTACAGATTAAATCCAGAATTAGGTTGTAAATCGATTATAACGTAAATGTAGCCAAAATAACTAAGGTGTCAACCGGCAAACAATAGAGCAATTCAGATGATATACTGAAATTCATATTTGGCTGCTATAGGCTTGGGGGAATAAAACAAAGGAAATCATCTTGAGGCTCAGCGATGAATATTATACATGTATTTCTTTTGTTTTATTTCCCCAAACCTCAGAGCCACGTATGATTTTTGATATATCGAAAATGGTCGATTAGAGATAGGCTTAGCTATTGCATAATTCCCAAAATATGGCCTTAAAGTCTTTCCGGAATTTCCCCGAAAAAAGCTCTAAATTAAAATTCTTTCAGAAATGTCTTAAATTCTCTAAAAACTCTCTAAAGTTCCCAAAAATTCTCAAAAAATTTCGGCTTTTTTTTTCATAGCGAGGGCCCCTTTTGGTGAATATCCGCTGATAAGTTGTAGTGTAGACGAATCTGATGAAAAGTCGCTAATTTGTTTTCCTCAGTAGTCAGTGCTCTTGACACTGCTGTAGCATGTAAGCGGACCGAGCCCTCTCTTGGTCGGTAGGAATACAACAAAAAACTTTTTTGTCAAAGTTTTTGCCGTGAAATATTGCAGAAAAAATGTCGGGTGAATGTTAAAATTGCTGTAAAATTCTCCAGTCTGTCGATTTTAACCTAAAATTTCCGAGATTTTCTAAACTTCATTTTAATGACTAAAATTTCAGATAAAATTCCGGAATTCAGTGTAGCTAAGGGACCGGTCATTATTTATCACCTGGGGGGGGGGGGGGGGGGGGGGGG